TTTTTTTTTTTTTTTTTTTCCTTTCCTAGCCATAAAACCTAGCAGGTATGACTAGAATATAAAGGAGGCCTTTAAGTTTCCCAGTAGATAATTTTATGTGCAACTAATAAAAGTTGGATGTATAATCTAGGATTACTCTTGAGAGTTCTTTGGAGGTTCATGTAGAATTTGCTAAACTAAAATGTAACAGTAAGCCTAAGTGCTAGAACAACCTCTGGAAGGTCGGTAGAAAGGAATAGGCAATGAGTCTTTCCATATAGAGTTCATTAGAATATGGCAAAGTTCAGAGTCCCTGAAAAAGCTCTTTATCTTTAAAAGAAAACAGAGCTTCTTGCTACCTTCTCCCCACCAAAAAAGCAAGAGGAGCTGCAAAAGTCTAAGTCAGACATAAGAGGAAATATTTAAAATCAGTTGTGAAAACTATCAAAAGGTTATATTTAAAAAATGATGGCAGGGAAAGATTTTCAAGATAAGGTAAAAGTGAAAAACAAAAGACTAATAAAACATGTACATTATCCCATTTTAAACAAACACAAATATGAAAACGATCAGAAGGATATAGACAAAAATGTTAACAGATTAATGATAGCAGTTATATTGGGATGACAGGTAATTTTAATTTTCTTATTTTTGCTTACTTGTATTTTCTAATTACAAGAAAATTTATTAAAATTTTAATTTTATTTATTAAATTACAACAATAATTTTCTATGTATCTTGGAGTTGGAAAAAAAGTTGGTTAAAAAGAAAAAAAAGGATGATTGGAAGGAAGCAAGTTAGTAAATAAACAAGAAAGAAATTTTAAGAAGCCGATGAACTGCATATATTTCTATATGATGAACTGCATCATATAGAAAGTTGATCTAGTCTCCACATGGTTTGTTTGTTTCAGTTTTTTCCAAATGGCCATGTAAGTTCCAAACTAGAAATTAGTTAGATCACTTTTGTGTTCTAGAAACCTACTTTATTCTGAAATTTATAAATCAGTACAATTGGTATGGATATTTTTTAAGTTGGTATGAATATTTTTCAAGTTGTCTTAATCTGTGTAAATTTTAAGCAAATATTAACCCATTTTTCAAAGAACATTATTGGATAATGTAGATGAAAATATACTTGCTTAAGCTGGTTCTAATAAGGTTGGATATTAAAAATATGTAAGTCAAAATAGAGCTTAGGATGAGGACAGGCAAAAAAAAAGTCAAAAGATAATTTTAAAAAATGAAGCTCTGAAGAATTAAATAAGCATAGGTCCAACCAAAAATACAAGAAAGTAATTGTTCAAATCATGCTACACACTATGTTATAAAATGTCTCCAAGAAAGGCAATATAAAAATCAGAACAAAGAGCAAAATTATTTATAAAGCAACACTATGTTGGGAAATTCTGTACCCAATTGAAAGATGAAACATTTTAGTTTTGGGGGCTCTCATTATTCTCCCAATATTCTTATTCATTGTTGTATTTACTGCTCACTTTAAACATTATCTCATTGAAGGAAAGGCTAGACCCCTGGACAACTCCATATTTACAAATAACTATTAGACAACTCCATATTTACAAATAACTATTAACTGTACAGGTGAAAACTTTCTCAGACACACTTCTTTACAAAGACAGGGACTTGGAAATCCCTAAAAATCATCTTGAAAAACGAATAGCAAATTAATTTACAAATGGTTTTAAATATTTATACTTACACCAGTATTTCAGACATACTGGATCCTATTTCAGATTTGGCCTAAACACAAAAAAGGAAAGGTTATTTGTACATATATTAAATTGAAGCCTTGGCAGGTTATTATGTTATAATGATTTTGATTCATTATAATATAATATCATGTTTTAAATATATAATGCAACAGTCTTTACTTTGGATCCTGTTCAATTTTGAATGTAGTGAAAACTAAACTTGGATATCTTTATGAAAAATTAATAATTGGCTAAAAATCATTTAAATTATTTCAGCAGGAATGATTAATACATTAATGAGTCAGTGGACTTATTTAAACTTTTGTTATAGCCTCTCTTTATGCGTTTTTGGGGATTTTTTTTTTTTTTTTTTTAGTGCTGGCAATTGAACCCAGAGACTCACACATGCCAGAAAAGCACTTTACCACTGAGTCACATCCCTAGTCCTCTTTTGGAGAATTTTAATTGAAGTTTATTATAACCTGTTCAAAATTTCACAATTATGTGTGAAAGATAGAAATTTCAAATATGGAAGAGCCATCAATCTGTATTTAATGCATTAACCAATATAAGTAAATCAGAATATAAAGTATCACACTTTGAAGTGAAAATAATAAATAAAAATTACCTTTTACTAATCTATTTTATTATGAAATCTCCATGTAAGATAAATATAATATCTAACATCTATCTACAAAAGTATACATAATGTATATTTTAGGGACAAAGAATTTTTAAAAAAATCTACAGACTCACCATTCATTTGATGAACAAAACCTCATCAATACCATAATTTATCTTACAAAGTCCTCACAGGCCTCTCCTTCCTTACCCTTTTGAATTTCTTTGGAAAGAACTATTTCTATTTGGTGAACCAATATTTTACAAAGCATTTATAAATAGGCCTTCAATTTTAAAAAGTAAATACTAAGGGTTGGGGCTGTGGCTTGATGGTAGAGACTTGCCTTGCATGTGTGAGGCACTGGGTTAGATTCTCAGCATCACATAAAAATAAATAAATATATTGTGTCTATCTACAACTAAAAAAATGTTTCTTAAAAAAATAAATACTAACATGAACATTGTTAATCAAATATGTTACTTCAAAAAGAAATGCTTTGATAAAGGTGAATTAAAATTGTTGAGTTTCCTTTCCTTCACATTTTTCCAATATTTTTATTCACAGATTTTTATTCACAATGGTACCCAAGACTGCAGGCAGTCTTCAACAGTGGGCAATAGGTTCCCTTTAATGCATATCATCCTGAAAAGTATATTAGGGATATACAACAGCTTGCTGTTGGATGAAGTGATTCTGATTTTTTTCTAACATTCCAAGGGACAAATTTGTTATATTACTAACTAAAATGGAAATTCTATCTACTGCCATTGATAAACATTGATTGCTCTTTCAATCAACAATGAAGTTGATTGAACAATAAAATATAACCACTTGTTTCCTCACAAGGGCTTGAAATGTAAGTTTACCAGGCTGAATGTTCCATACTCTTCCCTGAGAAAATGTGTCAGAAATCCTCGAAGTGTTGTCTGGTCTCCCCAGGTCCAGCGGGCATGATTGAGGTAGGATGAGATGGGAAGGTAGATATAGGGCAGCAAACCAGCAGAGAAACACAGACTCAAATTCAACAAATAGCCCAGTGATAGCTCCTGCATTAAAGCACATTGTGTTTTTGAACAGTGTTTATTTTAGTCGATTCATCCTGGAACTTCAAGAACACATCAAGGAAAACATCAAATATGTTTGCTCAGAGCTGATCTCTCAATTTATATTAAGTCACCACAGAATACTATGTTAAACCTTCTGATTACTGTGGATTACTAGAAAATTGCATCAGCCTGAACTCTTTTACATGGCAGGTGAAATCTGAGTGAAGCAAATAACATTAGCAAAACTCATAAGTATCATGTTTATTGTATCTTCTACACTTAAAACCATGTCATGACATGTACACTGCACAGCTGAGATCACCCACTTAGAAGTGATCAAGTGTTATTTGGCTGATTTTGAATAGGCTCAAAACACTGAATTGGTATTATACCAATTTACATCATGGTCATCATTAGAAGTTGACTTCAAGTATATACTTTATTATGATTGTACATGGATAATAAATTCTTCCTACAAGGGCCTTGAACATTTCATGGAAATTTTTCACACAAATAAAATTAGCTCTTATATAATCTTCAGGCTCACCCAAATGCTTTTTTTCCTCCTCAATTTATATTTAGGATATAATACTAAAAGAAATTTGTTGTTATATGCAAACTGTTATCTCATATACCTATTTGGGAAAATATATTTCTTATCTATACACTTCAATAATGAAAGGCAGTATCAACAAAGTTTTATAAGAATAAATTTAAGTATGCCAGAAAGATTAAAAATATTGGTTAACTGGGGAAGGGGGTCTCTTACAAACATCATAACTAGAAATTGCTAACTTTTCCTTTTCGAAAATAAGAAATTCATCTCTGAGAATGAATGTAAGAAAGAAAGTTCACATTCACCAGATGCAGAACAGGGAGTTGGCTTGTATTAGCATTTTCAATAAACATTCTTAATTGAAAATGAAGTGTTTTCATTATAGTACTGATTTCATTTGAGATTTCTATAGCAGTAATGTGTTTACAAACTTACAAATATCTAATCAAACAACTATGCCTTTGCTTTGCTATTCTTAAAAATGGTTTAAGGAAAGTAAATGTTTATGTTTTGGCACTTTTTGTACATTATAAAGTTGAATTTAGAATGGTAAGATGTAATTGTTGCAGAATTTTCCTTTTGCATAAGGAATAAATAGGAAACAATTACATGAAAGCTATTATAGTCTGGAGAGCAATTTTTAGTCTTAGATGCACATTGAAATAATCTGGGTAGTGTCTAGACCCCACCCCAGCTCAATTATAACAAAATAATTTAGATAAGGTTTCAGGATAAATACACATACATACATGTATATATGTATATAAAAAATGCATATGCATCTGTACTACATTATTATATATGTGTGTATGTATGTGCACACACACACATATGCACACACACACATTTTTTAAAAGCTTCCTAGCTAGATGAGCAGTCAGGGTTGACACCAACTGACTCAAGAATCCTTGCTCTGTTTCAAATCCCCTCAAAGTGAGATCCAACAACCCCTGCACTTCATAGACCTTATTTTCTAGCCTAAAGAATGGAAATGAGCCAGGTGCAGAGGCAGCTACTTGTAATCTCAGCTACTTGGGAGGCTGAGGCAGGTAGATAGCATGTTCAAGGCCATCCTAGGCAATTTAGCAAGACCCTCTAAAAATAAAATAAGAAGGGCTGGAGACATAGCTCAGTGGTAGAGTATCCCTGGGCTCAATCCTTAGTACCATAAATGAATGAACAAGAAGAAGTATGTTAAAGAGTCATGGTTCTCCAAATTTCATCATTCATCAGTAGCTCATCTCATTCTAGGGTAAACAGGCCCTTAGTCCAATCTCCTAAATTGTCAACTCCAAATCCTGCATGTTTTATATGAAGTACATGGCTCTCCTTTCAATCAACTCTTGGTCCTTTCCAGAGAACGCACCTATCCTGGGTCTGCTCAGGTCAAGGTATATCTCTGGTTAAGATGACTGATATCAAATGGGCTATGTTTAGAGAGGGCTATATTGTCTGTTGACCCCCAACTGTGCATCCACTGAGAAAAATATTTGGGCTTCCTCAGTTTTGTATTCCATAGGAAATTTTGGCTGAGTTATACTTTTTAATGTTATATACCCATTTTTTTAAAATTAAGGGTATGTACCCAAAGGACTTAAAATCAGCATACTATAGTAACACGGCCACATCAATATTTATAGCAGCTAAATTCACAATAGTTAAACTGTGGCAGCAACCTAAATGCTTTTTAATAGATGAATGGATAAAGGAACTGTGATATATATACACAATGGAATATTACTCAGCGCTAAAAGAGAATAAAATCATGGCATTTGCAAGTAAAGGAATAGCACTGGAGAATATCATGCTAAGCAAAGCCAATCCCAAAAAACCAAAGGCGGAATGGTCTCTGGTAAGTGGATGCTGATCCATAATGGGCGGGGCGGGGAGGCATGGAAAATATGGAGGAATTTTGATGGGCAAAGGGGAGGGAGGAGTGGGAAGGGGGTATGGGGGTACGAAAGATGGTGTAATGAGATGGACATCATTACCCTAGGTACATGTATGACAGCACATATTGTGTACACTACATCATGTATAACCAGAGAAACAAAAAGTTGTGCTGCAATTGTGTACAATTAATCAAAATACATTCTGCTGTTATATATACCTAATTAAAATAAATTAATTTTATAAATAAATTTAATTATAAAAATACATTTAATTTTTAAAAAATCAATGATATGTACTATAAAAGGTCACATGAAGAACTTTCTGAATATTCTATGAAATTTGGATACTGCTAACTGTTGTGACTGAAATGTGAGACTGAAATGATTGACTTCATAGAATTCGAGTCCAAGAAAAGTTGCTCTTTCCTGTCAACTGTTATGTTTCCCTTTTATTTGCTTTTTAATCACATAATCAGAATTTTATAATCTCCACATTACCTTTTTGCTTTGTTGCCAAGATGCTAAGAAACTAAATGTGTTCAAGAATAGTTAATATAATAATCTAAAGCTCTAGTATAATTATTTACCTATTACTATATAATAATTTTATTACTTGTATGTTTTCTATTATACTTCTAATTATAATTGGTATAATGAGCAAATAATAAAATGACAAACGTAGCTGAATTTGTTCATAAACAAACAAACAAAAACTAAATAAAGTAAAATGACCTAGCTGGCACTGGCTTTGCATATGGACTAAAAGAAAGTCTGACTGATAAAGGACATTTATTCTTTCAAGAGTTCATGTCTAACTCGACTCCCTGCCTTTTCCTTACCTAAATCTCCTATTGCCCAACAAAGTAATTTTCCTATATTGCTATTTACTGCCATTTTAATTAACAAAAAAGTTTTCTTTCATAGAAAGATGAAATAAAAATAAATCATTTTTTTTAATTCTAGAGAAATATCCTGAGAAAATAGGACTGTTATTTATCAGAGATTTTAATGAGTTCATACTACAGGGATATTGTCTGTTTGTTGAGAGCTAAATCTCCACACTTAGAGCAAGGATACAGCATAGAGCAAGCACTCAACAAACAGTTAAATATGAATGAATGACTACTATACCACTCTGTGTCCTTAAATGTATAATAAAACTATTAAGGAAACTTAGTATTATTGCTTTAAAGTCCTTTTAACCTATTTTCAGAATCATGAAGAAAATTATGAAATAGGCCACATGCCACTGCAATCAATATTACATTATTTTTGTAAATCCTTTTTTTTCCAGTCAATATTGTTAGGGCTTAAGGTTATTTATGCTTTACACAAAACTCAAGAAAAATTAAAGCCCCAAGTTTTCTGATGAAACAAATGCTATATTGAATCTAAACAAAATGTTATTAATTTTATTTTTATAAATTCCAAAACCTACCTTCTCTTTTAAAAGTCGAAAGAGAATCCAAGGTATTATGCATAAAACATAGAGGACTATTGTGTGCTGATTACATAAGCTAAGGCCACAGCAGAAAGCACCGATTTTAGCTATCTGAAAACAAACAGGAAAAAAAAAAAAAAAAAAGAAAGAAACAAAGAAACAAAAACACCTAAGTTAAAAATTCACCTAAAACTCTAAGTAAGCACAATGCTAAAAAGCCATTCTTACCACTAAACCAAACATCATAGGCCAGGTAAAGATCAATCTGTTAGATGTAAGCAATTATAACAGTAACTAGTATTTATCATCATTTTAAAAATATTTTTTAGTTGTAAACAGACAATATCTTTATTTTATTTATTTATTTTTATGTGGTACTGAAGATTGAACCCACTGCCTCACACGTACAAGACAAGCTCTCTACCACTGAGCTACAACCCCAGCCCCTATCATCATTACTTTTTGTTAATGTTGTTCACTCACATTAAACAACTGCAGTTTGATCTTAAATGACTATCTTCAAACTGACTCTTAGAGACTCCTGTACGACAACTAGTAAATCTTAACAGGCTACTATATGATTCTTACTTGAGTAAAATCTATAATTGAAGTCCAATAATTCTGTTTTACTTTTTCTCCTTCTAAATAAATAAAATGTAACATCTTTTATTTAGAAACCTATTTATATCTGGGTGGTATTTTGCTTTTTTTGAACATGTATTCATTTACTCATTTCATATTTGATTAGTATTCTCTTCTTCTTTTAAATTTTTATTTTTTTATTTTCTGTGATGCTGGTGATTGAACCCAGGGCTTTATGCATGCTAGGAAAGTACTCTACCAACTAAGCTATATCCCCAGCCCACAAGGATTTTCTTCCTGACCAAACTCTAGGCAGGCTCCTCTGAACTCTCTTCTCAACTCAGCCCTGGCTTTTAGATACTGTGTTCATCTTTGCATTGTCCAATTTTATCAAGAATACTCAGTCAGTTTAACTAGAAATCTCTACCCTGGATATATGATCACACTGATCCAATTTCTATCCTTCACCCTGCCCTAGGTGATGTCAGATCAGCCTGGCCTGCCTTCAGCAAGAATCCCATTAGGCCAATTTAGTCTGAATCCTCCTTTACCCCTGATGTTTCCTCTCAGTAATTTTTCCGTTCACTTTCACCCAGCCTGCTCCTTGGATACAAATTCTCATTATTCATTGTTATTTGGACTTGAGCCTGATCTCTCTCCCCTATTACAAAACCCCACTGAAGTGTTCCCTACCTCTGAACCTGAATAAAATCTGTTTATGCTTCTTTAACAAATATACTGAATATTTTTTCTGTAACATAATTAGAAAAATAAAACAATAGCATCACAGATCTACTTATGGGAACCACAGGTAAATCATGAAGTCTTTTTGTTTCTATATCCTTTCACAACACAAAGCTGCTTATACAAAGGCAATATAGTATTTTCTGCAATGAGCAGACAGTAAGCTTTTGAAGGCAGGGTTCTTTCACACTTAGAATGAGTTTGATCCTAGTATCTGTCTTAAATTCACTGCAATCTCTTTTGAACTACTCTGCTTTTACACTTGACACTCTTAATTAGAAAATTACAAATTTGATCATTTTCACAATAAGAGAGTAAATTAATATACCATAATGGTATATGATGTAAGGTCAATCCAAAGCTTGGCACCTTATGGTAATCAACAAGCAAGTGTTGGTGCATGAACCAACAAACTTGCCTTTCCCAAAGCACTCACAGGGATTTCATAACCCCTTCATTCTCCAAACCACTTCCGAAGTCTGAGGGGGAAAAGTCCCATGTTTCATGAGGGCTATTATACTTCCATTCACAATAAAAGGACTGAGAATATTTTCTCTCTCAACATGCCTAGATTACCTTGACAGTAACCATAATAGATAAACAGCATCCAAACCAAAGTTAAAAAGAAATGCAGCTATCTGTCCAAAAATTAAAACAAAAAAAAATGATTTCACTTTGATCCAAATAGGTTACCTTTGATCTCTCCTTTGCAGTTGCTGCCTCCTCAAAATGTACAGTAAGAGCCATAAGCAGCCCCACAAACAGATTGTTTAAGCTAAAAACCTCTGCTGTGATGGACCACTGCCATGTTAGACGAGAAAATGAAAACACCCCCGCAGCAAGGATTCCTCCAGCATATGAGCCAGAAAGCCTGCAAATACAGATAACATGAAATCTTCTTTCCCAACAAAAAGGACTGACTTTCTTTTCCTTTTTATAAACTGTCCCAGCAGAAATTATGACAGTCATCCAGTACTCTCCCCACACATTATATGGTTAATACATTACTTCATGTAATAATTTCTTTCGACAGATTTTAATTAGGAAGCCTGAACATTCACCTACTAACAAACAAATGAACAAACTTATAGATAGAATGAGATTTCTTCTAAGACACATTCTCTAGGACTCAAAGACAGTTCAGAAAACCTAAAGAAACAGCAACTAGGGCTGAACCTGTGTCATTTTCTTGCTTTATCCACAAAGAAGGATAGCCTGATTAAGATTTAGACATGTTTAAGTGTAAGTTAATGAAATGGCAAAAACCATATACAGGAATACTTATTTTCACTCATTTTTTGTGGGATGTTTGAATTTAGGTACCTTCTATCTTTATCTTGGCATTAGTCATGGTATTTGATCATGTTAAATTGTGCACAGCTAAGTTCTTAGTTTTTAATGTTTTTGTTATTTTTTAGACAAAGTTGAGAAGTTTGAAATTATGTATAGATATAATTTCAACTATATAATTATATATATGCACATTAGGAGCGGAATAGAAATGAGAATTTCAATAATGGCAAAAGAATCTAATGCAATACTTGAAAACAAATGTCACATCCTCAAATGCCAGAGGAGTCATGCATTTCAAATTCATCAGAAATCTGGATCCTGATCCAGAGATCTGATAAGACTGGTAATGTGTTAAACATCCTAAAGAAACAACTCCCTACCTTGCTACAAATCTTAAACTATAAAAACCCTTCCTCCCTTCTTTCCTTCCTTTCTTCCTTCCTTCTCTTGCTTTCTTCTATGTGGTTCTAGGGATTGAACCCATGGTCTGTCTGTTACTGAGCTACATCCCCAGTCCTTTCTAATTTCTATTTTCCGTCAGGGTTTTGAGAAGTTGCTGAGGCTGACCTCAAGCTTGTGATCCTTCTGCCTCAGTCTCCCAAGCTGCTGGGTTACAGAAGATGCCAATAAGCAAGGCCCTAAATATCTACTTCTTAACAGTGTTAAGAAATTCAGAAAGCATTATTAAGCCTAATAATTTTGATATTTTCTGTCTCAAGTCACTAATTTTCAACTATGTTTTACCTATTACAGAAAAAGAAGTAAAATTTCCAATATCGACAGAAGATGGGAATAGAGCTCATACATACTGTGTGAGAGGCACTAGGTTCAATAATACCCAGCGTGCATGTGTATGCACATACACATACATACATACACACATACACACACACACACACACACACACACACAAATCATTATCATCAAGCTTGTTTTTCCTTTGAATTTCTATTATGAAGAAACCATCAGTTTCCTATTTCTTTCAGTTCTTTACTCTCCCAGTGATCCTGATTAAACACACTAAAGTCACTTTTTCATTCTAAATTAGTTTCCTAATTTTCTTTGTTTATATTCACAATGCCTTAGACCTAACTAATTTAGTAGTTTCCTGACTTGTCCTCTGTATTACAACCTATTCTGTAATATGACATTATACTAAATTTCCTAAAACATATTCTGATTACCTAGCTTCAAAACTTAAGTACACTTCATTGTCTGTAGGATAAATTCTAAATGAGTCAGCCTAAAATACAGGCTTCCAATAAAATAAACCCCATCCATCTGTTAATTACCAACATTATTATTTCTGCTAACTAGTCAAGTGCCTCAAAATTCCTTAATATGACATGCTTATTCCTAGCACCACACATTTGTTCACATTGAACCCCAGACAGATGTCTTCCCTGGTCCTACTTATTCAAAGCTTATACTTTTCTCAAATTTCTCTTCAATTTCCAGGTTTCTATCCCATCTCTGAACATCAATAACATTTGATTGTCTGTATCGCTTATTTTGACTTTGTTTTTGAAATGTGAACTGAATTTGAACTTTATATGGGAAGTACCCACACTCATGCACACAAAGGAAGAAAATGAATTAACCTTAAAGCATTTCTAACATTTTTAAAGGAACACCTCAGTTCCATCTGTCAATTTTATTTTGGAAAGTCCTTTCTCTACTTAAAATATAAATTAGCATCCTTGGAGAAATGATTGATTCCAGAGTATAGGTGATTTAAATACAAATTAGTCTGAAACATCTTGTCAAAATACAATTTAAAAAAAAATCAACAAATTCCTGTTTTTCAAATGAACTAGCTGAAGAGCCAGGTAACTTTTCCAAAGTACTATGGCAAGTAAGTGGAGAACTAGAGATTCTAACTGTTAGTATAGCCATCTGGTGCCACTATAATGTGGGTTAAAAAGATGGGTGTTTAGTTTTAATGTCAAATAATTTATCTTAATAATAAATTACACTTTTAACTGATTAAATATGGACCTCCTGGAGTCTAGAATAGACTAGAATGAAGTTTTGTTAATTATTAGAGTTGTGTTTATTTCCATGTTTTATCAAAACAACACATTACAATCTTGAATTGCATTCAAAACCCTCTGGAGTCAGGTTTTTGTTTGGGTACTGGGGATTGAACCCAGGGGCACTTAACCACTGAGCCACATCACCAGCCTTTTTTATGTTTAGGGTCTCACTAAATTGCTGAGGCTGACTTTGAACTCCCAATCCTCCTGAGCTGCTGGGATTACAGGTGTATGCTACCACACCTGGATGGAGTCAGGTTTTAAAATTACTTTTTTGAAAGGACAATTTGTCAAAGTTTAAAACCATCAAATGGTCAATTAAAGAGAACTGAGAAGAAAGTATAACTGAATTCTCAGGAAACTCAAACTCACAATCCATAATTTTAAACATGTTATTACACTCAGAAATTCATCCCAAAGCATTTGAACTGTTGATATTAATTATTATTAGTTATGAACTATGTTAACTGCCTTTTAATATTCCAAAAGGTTTTACAAATTGAACCTAAAATTATCAATTTCAGTGATAAAACTTACCCAGTCACCTTAAGACTTACACATAGATACATTAGCATTTTATTGAAGAGTAATCCCACAATAGCAAAGTGTATAATCTGAATTTTCCCTTCTCCTCTCTCAAGATTAGGATAATTTTATAATAAATAATCAGTAGTTTCTTACACCTGATTTTCTTCCATATCAGAGAAAAAAACTGTAAGGCTGCTGAAAAGAGAAAGTAACTAATTATAAAAAAAGGAATGGAAATCAAACCTATAATCTCAATCTTTTTATTATCAAATGAATTTGCCTGGAATTTAAGGTAGGTCTATAGGAATTTGGGTTGTAGTTCAATATAAGTTGAAGAAAAACAAGTAGTGAATCTTTTGCCTCTCAATAGCAGTGTACTGGGGGCTGATTTCTCTACATTTAATGGGCACCTGTTACCCAGGCTTTTTAATTCTAGCTATCCTAGTGAGTGTGAAGTGGTATCTCACTGAGCTTGTGATTTGCATTTTCTTAGTGGCTAAGGATGCTGAGCATGTTTTCTTGTGTTTACTGGTCATTACTGGACATTACACATCCTTGGAGAAATGTCAATTCAGATACTTTGCCCAATTCTTACATTATTTGTCTTTTTAAAACTGAACTGTAAAGTTCTTCCCAACTTCCTTTTAATACATTTCTTTTCTGCTAATCATAGTCATCCAATTGCTTTCAACCAAAAATTTTAACTGAAATACACTGCTTTCCCTCTTTAATATAATTTATATTATTCTTTTCAAGAGAAACTGTGTGACTAAATTATGAAAATAAAGGCTGAAGTTCTCATAGCCTTGTGGAAAACAGAAGAGAGAGAGTGTGCCTCCAAGAACAGAATGGTAGAATATGAAATATTTTGGTTGCTCTGTCATCCCAAATAATACATTAAATCATAAATAATACTTTTCACAAATAATCTATATAGCCTAAGCCTTATAAACTTCTTTTATTTCAATATCATTTTATAGGCCAAACTCTGAGTCTCTTTTTAAATGCATGTACTTTTCCCCCCAAGAGTTATTATATTTATTCACTTATCAAATATTTACTAAATTTTACCGTTTAATGTGCTGGGAATACAGTGGCTAAAAACAAACACGATACTCAACCTAATGCAGTTTACAGTCTCATTTGCCTGTTTCTGAGTTGTCTTCCAGTTGGGATGGCCTGACTAGCTTTCATTAGCAGTTATTTGAGCCTATTATACTGAAAGAATCAAGTGGGGTGACTCACCAAACCACCTGTTTCCTCCTGAAGGCTGGAGCAACCCGAGGGTCTGGAGCAACCACAGAGGCCTTTGCACATGGGTGTGTTTGAGGATTCTGGATCAACTCACACCCTGCTGAGGCTCTCCTGCTCTGGTGATGATCTCAGCAATCTTTTAGGCCATTCTGTCCTTCCTTAGATGCATATACTTTGAACATGATGCCTTTAAACTTTGCCTTTACCTTAAGATTTAGAATCCACTGAGTGTAAACTTGTAAATTTGTAATATAAATTAGTGGATTAAGAAAAGTAGAGGTAATTGAAAACATTTATTGTGGAAAAACTCTACAAGCCCAGGAGAGATACACACAAGGCCTAGTAGTTAGCAATAAATGCTCAGCTGAGGTTGGAGACTACAGAGACTGGGTTCAGAGGAGCAGTATCAGTCCACATGACTGCACAGAACCAGGTCTGGGAAGTCTGGATAGAGCCAACCTTAAGGAAGAAGGACAGAAGGATAAGAAGGAAAGAGAGCTCAAGTAATGAACCATGAGCCCCAGATTGAATTAAAGAAGGAAGTAAAGCCAGTAGGGAGTTGAGGGAGGAGATAAGGATGAGCAAGGGGTTGTAGGTCTCAATTAAACTGGACAGTGGGGCATCAAGGAAATGAGTAAACCAGAAAGCTAAAATCATGCCAGGGAGTGAAAAGTAGCTTGGGGAAAAGGATATCAAATTGTTCAAGGATGGAACATACTAGTTAATTACCAAAACTGAACCCCATTGTTGAAAACAGCCC